CAGAGGTCTTTATAGAGACCTGAGGTCTTTATAGAGACCTGAGGTCTTTATAGAGACCAGAGGTCTTTATAGAGACCAGAGGTCTTTATAGAGACCAGAGGTCTTTATAGAGACCAGAGGTCTTTATAGAGACCAGAGGTCTTTATATAGAGACCAGAGGTCTTTATAGAGACCATAGGTCTTTATAGAGACCAGAGGTCTTTATAGAGACCAGAGGTCTTTATAGAGACCAGAGGTCTTTATAGAGACCAGAGGTCTTTATATAGAGACCAGAGGTCTTTATAGAGACCAGAGGTCTTTATAGAGACCTGAGGTCTTTATAGAGACGAGAGGTCTTTATAGAGACCAGAGGTTTTTATAGAGACCAGAAGTCTTTATAGTGAGAAGAGACCAGTTCTCTTTATAAGGACCAGTTCTCTTTATAAGGACCAGTTCTCTTTATAAGGACCAGAGGTCTTTCTTTAGACCAGAGGTCTTTGTAGAGACCAGAGGCCTTTATATAGAGACGACAGGTCTTTGTATAGAGACCACAGGCTTTTAGAGAGACCAGAAGTCTTTATGGAGACCTGAGGTCTTTATAGAGACCAGAGGTCTTTATAGAGACCAGAGGTTTTTATAGAGACCAGAAGTCTTTATAGAGACAAGAGGCCTTTATAGAGACCAGAAGTCTTTATAGAGAGAAGAGATCTTTAAAGAGACCAGTTCTCTTTATAAGGACCAGAGGTATTTCTTTAGACCAGAGGTATTTATTGTGACCAGAGGGGTTTATATAGAGCGGAGGACTTTATAGATACCAGAGGCCTTTATGGAGACCAGAGGTCTTTATAGAGACCAGAGGTCTTTATATAGAGACCACAGGTTTTTATAGAGACCACAGGTCTTTATAGAGGCCACAGGTCTGTATGGAGACCTAAAGTCTTTATAGAGACCAGAGGTCTTTATGGAGACGAGAGGTCTTTATAGAGACCAGAGGTTTTTATAGGGATCAGAAGTCTTTATAGAGACAAGAGGCCTTTTAAGAGAACAGTTGTCTTTATAAGGCCAGAGGTCTTTCTTTAGACCAGAGGTATTTCTTTAGACCAGAGGTCTTTATGTAGACCAGAGGTCTTTCTTTAGACCAGAGGCATTTTTATAGAGCGGAGGACTTTATAAAGACGAAGACCAAAGGTCTCTACAGAGACCAGGGGTCTATTTTAGAGATTATTTGCACAAATCTTTATAGAGGTGTAGGGGTTTATGGTAATAGAGTCTATAGAGACCACAGGTATCTAAAAAGTCCTGGGGTCTTTATGGGGCCCAGAGGTCTTTTTAGAGACCAGAGGTGTTGCTAGGAATCGCAGGTCTTTCTGGAGACTTGAGGTCTTTATGTTGAGAGATCAGATATCTTTGTATATTCACAATGTCTATATAGAGACCAGAGGTCTTTATAGGGACCAGATGTTTTTATAGAAACTGCAGATACCGTAGGATAAATCGGAGAAACAAAAACGCACATTAGACAAATGTCCATAACGAGAACCAACCCTGGCTTTCCTCCATATTCTCGAAAGAGGAGTGGTGCTTCCGTAGGTCGATTATAAAGAGTATCGGATATTTGTAACTGGATCCGAGTTCAATACCTACCGGAAAATAGCATAATCGATACAACCTTTTGCGACTGGCAGGGACTCGAACTTAAACTTCGTGTCCGTTAACGGAAGTCAAACTTATATAAGAAAGTAAAACCTGATGAGGTAGATAAGATGCGTAAGAAGTGATCAAATATATTGCCCAGCATACGATAAAAAGGGGGCGTATGGGCGGAAAATGACCAGCATGAATTGAAGATGTAAGAACCCACAGCAGATGGATGCCCTGAAGGATGTCCCTGACTTCCTTCAATTTCATCGGTACCGGCATTCATTATGATGTCCGAAGTAGAGCCGACGAATGCTAACACCTCAAACATCCCAGATTAGAGGATAATACATAGACTAAGGCTGTATAACTGGTTTAAGTATCGAAAGGACGTCTGTGGCTATGGTCCACAGAACCCTGTTTGTGAACAAAGTGATAGTATTGACAGAGAACTATGATTGTGGTATGTTTATGTTATGTTTAGATGTGGTTAACATTCTTCTAGGATTAGACTTCCTTTCAGTCTTCGATTTTAAAGGGAGACTTGGTAATGTCACATTTGATATGTCAACGAGCATAGAAGCACAATAATCATCAAACAGGAGAGGAAGAAGGTAAATAGTTCCATGCTCCAAGGCTTTCGCCTAAAAAACTCCTAATGAAGAAGCGTGAAGTTTTTCAAAGACAATTGAATGGAGAACCTGCTCGTGGCAGGCTTATTGCAAGTCTGGTGAAGACAAAAGTAAAAGTACTCTGTGCCCATCGGTGTTTTCTTGCAGAAGTTAGGTTAGGAAAGTTAAGAATCGGAAAGGAGTTTTTAGGGATCTCAGATGAACAAGAAATCTGAAGTCGTCGAGGTATACATAAAGACGGATACCTCGACGACTTCAGCTATCTTTTCTCTTCACGAAATAAACACTTTCAAAAGTGTTCATAATAAGTGATAGCCGTCTTAATTATAGAGTGACGATGATTTATATGCAACCACTCTCCCCTCGTTATAACATCCGCATGTTGTCCATAGATATGTTGGATTTTTTTTTAAATCATATTCTTAAGAATAATGAAAGCACGCTTTCAATTTATTTCCACTGCGGATTTCATTTCATTTTTATTTGCAATTCATTTGTCCTGTTAACATCTTCTCCCCAGGAATGTTACGAACGCATTTTGTTCCTCATGATAAGTTAATAAGTAGTCAGAAGCAAACAGACAAACAATGGCTTTGAAAAAACAAAAGCCGCATTATCTGAGAAGGACTGATGACATTTGGTTTGGGGAGGGCGAGGGGAAATTATGACAGAGGATAAATAAAAGATGAATAGCTTGGTTACAATAAAATACCTAGCTGGAGGCATTTTTAAGGTTGTCGTAGTCGCCGTGGTGATAACTTGGATGAGTGTTAATAAAAAACCATAAATCATTAGACACAAAAAAAACTTTAACTTTATCCAACCCCCCTCACACCACCACTCAAATGAACTTTTGTTCACACTCGCAAACACACACTCACATGTATGTCCTCTCCTGTGCAAATTCATATTTGTCGCTGCTGCTGCGAAGCAACACCCTTTGCAACTCACACACCCCTGCAACAGATTACAACAAAGCGTGTTGGATTTGTACATTTTTTTTCGTTACGTTTCTGATTTTTTTGCCCTATTGAGGCCCATTGTGTTTTTTTGTTGTTGTTGCTGTTCGCTCCTCCAGTGTATTTTCGTGATGATAAAACTTCCATAAATCAAGTTATTAGATATATCATTAATTGTTATCGACATTGTCTATATATACGAATATATTGTATTATTGAATGCATTTGGATGTTGTTTTTGTTTTTTTTGTTTTTTCTATATCATCTTTTTTATCTCCCAGCTGTCCATTTATACGTTTTGGATATTCATAAATAATAGGGTGACATTATCATAAATGCTGTTGTATCGCATTTTTTTCTCTTTTCAATTAAATTTGACTACCGAAGCCATATTTATATATTTAACGCATTTTTATAAATATGCCGTTGGATGTAAATAATATAGGGAGAAAATTAAATAAAGCAAAAAAAAAAAACACAAAAACTCTGTAAGGAAAGTAGTAAAGTCGGGCCGACTACATGATATCCTCCACCACGTTGGATATATTCTTCATATGGAATTTTTCAATTTTCTTTTAAAATTCCATTAAAAAAATTGATTTAGCATAGATCAATGTCTTTCTGAAAATTATGCTAAATTTCATTCGGGCAGAAATGGAAGCTATATTAGCATCTTCATTTCAATTTGATAATTTGTGTAAAATTTGATGTCAATCGGACCAACATTAGGTGTTTGGTGCACCATTTACCTAAAATCGGATGAAATCCAGTACTCTATACCAAATTTTGTAGAAATCGAAAGATATATAGGGGCTTTAGTATACCATTTACATTAAATCGGTCGAAAAAATATATGGGAGCTATACCTAAATCTGAACCGATTTTCACGAAACTTAACACACATCATTCTAGACTTAATTAAGTACGATATGCCAAATTTCGAGCATATGGAAAGATATTTAGGGACTTTGGAGCACCGTTTACATTAAATCGGACGAAAATATATATGGGAGGTATATCTAAATCTGAACCGATTTTCAAGAAACTTGACACACATCATTCTAGACCTAAATCATTACCCCATGCACAATTTCGTGCAAATCGAACTATATATAGGGATCGTTTACATTAAACCGGACAAATATATATATATATATATATGGGTGCTATATCTAAAACTGAACCTATTTTTCCCAATTGCAATAGGATTCGTCCTTGGGCCAAATAAATGAGCTCTGCCAAATTTCATCTAATTCGGGTCATTAACGCTACCTGTACTTTGTTCACAATTTAGCATGGACAGACTGACTGACAGAAAGTGATTCTATGCATATACTCAAAGGGAACCATGTCTCTATCTCGCTTCCTTTTGCTGTTACAAACATATGCACAAAGATAAAATTACCCTGTACCACAGTGTGGTGAGGGTATAAATATGGGTAAATAATGAAAAACCAGTAGAGAAAGAACACAAGTCGGTCGGCACCGACCAAATTAATGATCCAAGAACCATAATAGTTCTCTAGGAAATATTCTTCGATATACGCTCTGATGGACATCCATGGAAATAATTATAAAAATCTACTCTTCTAGACCTGATAGTTCTCTAGAAAATATTCTTTAAAAAGTCTACACATATTTTCCTGATAGTCCTTTAGAAACTTGATTTTAAAACCGATACAAAAAGTGGGTTCGACTGTTCTTGATAATGTACAGGGTGAGATAAAAAACTACAACAAAGTGAAACGCCATAATTATATTTACGTCTTCTTTTTTTAATTTTATTGAATGAAAATGTCGGAAATAACATCAAATTTTAGAATAAGTTGAGATTTGTTCGAATTGGGCACCATTAGCGCGAATTATGGCCTACAAACGGCCAATGAAACTGTAACACGCTGCCCGAATGTTGCTCTGCGGTATTTTGACCCATTCTCGGCGAAGCGGTTGCTTGAGTTGATCGACACTTTGGCATTTTTTAGTGCCAACCTTGATTTTCAAAATACTCCAGACACAATAGTCCAACGGATTGGTATTCGGAGATGTCGTTGCCCATTGTGCGCTGGAAATGAAGCGAGGAACCTCATTTTGTAACAATTCTTGGGTTGCGCGTGCTGACTGCGATGGTGCTGAGTTCTGTTGGAATATCCAAGGCCTGCGGCCAAAATGTTTGCATCCTCCAGAATATTTTCGCGATAATATTCGCCATTTATTCTGAGGCCACGTCGATTAATACGAGCGGAGAGTCATCATAGGCAGTTATGGCGGCCACACCATCACCATGACCGGCGCTTGAGTTCTGGTGGCCAATCGAAGGTGCACATTTTCAGCTGACCTCTTTGGCAAGTAGACACGATCATTTTGTTTGTTTACAAACTGCTGGACAACGAATGTTTTCTCACCGGAGAAAACCAAATTCGGCAGTTCACCACTTTCGGCCAAGCGAAGCAACTGTTTAGATCTTTTGAGTCTATTTTCTTTCTGTTGCGGTGTAAGTTCTTGCACTTTTTGGAATTTCAGTAACTTTACCCCGAATAACTTTTTGGAATTTCAATAACTTTACCCCGAGTTCATTTTTCAATATAAGCCGAATGGAATATTGCGATATGTTCAACTCACGATCCATTTTTCGGCCACTGCGACGCGGGTTTCGATCAAATCGCTTCTTTACTTTTCGAACCATTTCTGCTTTTGTTGCTGTTTCCGGCTACACTGCGACGCGGGTTTCGATCAAATCGCTTCTTTACTTTTCGAACCAGTCAGTACAACGATTGGCTAAAGGTGAAAAGGACGAAACATAAAAATATCTATAGGGAATGGAGATTTAAGTCCTAACTTCCAATGATATACAGACTTGCTAAACATATTAGCTTGGGCAAAATTTGTTGCAATCGTATAGTCCCGTTGCAAGATATCTTAAAACAAATTTTCCGCTAAATTCTAACGACTTTGTGGGGGAGGTACCAGGAGTGGACCGATATTCTCCATCATCGAACTTGATTAAAGTTTGGATGAAATATTACGATGAGCAAAGTTTGAATGAAATCGGTTACTCACTTCAGGAGTTATCGTAGGCGACCGAAATTTTGTAAATCTACCCCAAACTGAAACAAATTTGGCCCCAAGAAAACCAATATTTCAATGAGGCACATTTATTCCGTTGGAAAGTGTATATACACGACTCAAACCCCATAAAGCTGGCGGGATAAATATTTAAAAAATGCCTAAGGACTTTTGAAATATTTACAGTGATGTTTGCCGAGTTTACTATGAGCAGACCAATTGAGCAGAAAAGTGTAATTGTGCTATAACCAGTTAAAAAAGACCGAAAATATGTCAACGGCGATGCTCATCCTGATTGCCCGAACCCACCAACAACCGATGCACCATTGAAGCAGTGAAGAAAATGATTTTGGATAGTCGTCGACATTCAGAGATATTGCTAATGATATTGGCATATGGTTCGGCTCATGTCATGCTATATTTTTATGAAGTTTTAGGTACCAAAAGGTGCGGTAGCAAAGATTTTTTCAAAATTGCTACATTTTAAGTGACTTGTTACGATTTCTACTCCTTTTTTATACAGTTCGAAGGCGACAAAAACAAAGAATAGGTACGTTGATGAGTTTGAGTTTTTAAGTGAAGTGACTATAATTATAAATTTTGAGTTTTCAGAGGATAAATTAGTTTGTAGTAAATTATTTGTAATATAGGCCATTCTAATAAACTATTAAAAAATCGGATTACGTTGTATGATTGATTTGCATAGAAAAAATTGGACGGAGAGTAAAAAAAAATCATCCCATCATAAAAATGTTGATGGTTATGAAAAGTGGACACAAATGTCTAAAACAGATGTTTCATTATGTTATAGGGCTTATGCCATTAAGGTTACAATAATAATTCCCTAATTAGCCTAACAGGGTATGAGAGAGAGTGTAGTTGGTATTGTTGACCACGCCCAGAAAATTGAATATAAAATTATCCCATCTGGGAATACGTTGACATAGTTTCACGAAGCGAACATGTACAAACCACCATCAAAATAATGTTAATGAATCAACATTATCCACCCAATTACCACACATCAAAGTTCTTAGCTTAAGGTGTGGTTGCAAAGAAGGACAACGAATGCATCATAATATGCCGTGTAGTAAATGCGTTTGTTAGGCATTATGTAATTATGGCGGTTGTTAGTGTTATATACAGTTACTGCACCACTTTTCATGCACGCACTAGCACACACACATACAGCCCCATTTAATAACAACAATTATTAATAATGAAACGCAACAATGGGTTTGCGTGCAACATAAATGGAGAGAATGAAGGCAAATCAAAAGGCATTCGCCCGAAATGGAACGCACAATGCTAACGATAGGGGAAAGGTGAATACAATAGCAGATGGTTAATGGGGGTTTTCTCCATTTCGGTTTTTTACATTTATGACGAAAAACAATTAATTGCTAGTGACTTGAGGGTACCTTTTCCTGTGTCCTTAATATGGAATTTAAAGGCTTTACATTCATTGAAATATTTAATTTGAAAATTTCACTTTTGCAATTTTACACAGAGAAGGGGGTTTGACCATAGGATAAAATCATGACGGTTTTGATGAAGAAAATCGGTCAATCGGTGTTGGTCCAATTTAGAAAGCCCCCATATAATTGCACTTGTACACTTCATACTACCTACAGACGTCATCGAGGTAGAAAACTAAATAGCCAGATTGAAAAAAATATTAGTCTCATTTCAGGTATAGCCTCATATAATTTTAGACACATGTTCCACTATACCATGCGTTCTCTATATCGGTCCACGTTTTGGTGTTTTAAGGAAAAATTCCCCATGTTGACTACTAACTAATCCATTTCCACTTCGATGGCTCCATCAACATGCAATATTGTCTCACCCAGGACTAGGAAACTCCAACATTTATATTTGGAAAGTCTCTCAATTCTCAACATGGAACTTTTTGTTGCGGTTTATGATCCGATTGGGTATATATTTTTCGATAATTGGTTTGGACCAACATTTGCGGAGAATGTGCTGCGCTACAGAGGGATGATTTATGATTTATTGATTTGTGTTAGATGGGACTATTATAGCCCAAAATAGATAATGTTGGTAAGGCTACCTATGCCATTTTGCGGTTAAGTTGTAGAATGTCATCGCGCTCGTCGTGATCGGAGCAATTGATTTACATTTTTCATTATCAACGGTACAGGCTCTTCTTTATCAAGCATAAATATCCGAACATTTTATTCAAAAATAGGTTTTTCTTTAAATACTAATTATTGACTTCTTATCGGAATTTACTATATATGTATAAGTGAATGTGGGATATAGCGGTGGCGAAGATTTTTATACCCTTCACCACACTGTGGCACAGAGTTTTATATATGGCTATATACACATTTTTTTACAAGGAAAAGGAAACGAGATAGACACATGATTATTTTTGAGAATATGCATAGAATCACATTCTGAGTCGATTTATGCATTTCCGTACGTCTGTCTGTCTTTCCATGTTAAATTGTAAAAACGGTACAGGTCGCATTTATGATCCGAATTGAATGAAATTTGGCACAGCTCATATGTTTGGCCTTAGGACGAACACTATTGAAATTGGAAAAAATCGGTTCAGATTTAGATATAGCGCTCATATATATTTTCGTGCGATTTAATGTAAATGGTATACTAAAATCCCTGTATATCTTAATTATCTTATCTGAATTAAATCTAGAATGTTGTGTGTAAAGTTTCGTGAAAATCGGTTCCGAATTAAATATAGTTCCCATATATATTTTCGCCCGATTTTATGTAAATGGTGCACCAAAGCCCCAATATATCTCTCGATTTGCACGAAATTTTGCACAGGGTGCGATTCAATATAGATGGTGTGCAAAGGTCCCTGAATACCTTTTGATTTGGACGAAATTTGGCACAGCGTACTGAATTAAGTCTAGAATGATGTGTGTTCAGTTTCGTGAAAATCGATTAGATTTAGATATAGCTCCCATATATATTTTCGTCCGATTTAATGTAAATGGTGTACTACAGTCCCTGTCCTATTTCCCTATTTCGATTTGCACGAAATGTGTACAAGATTCGATCAAATCGGTTCAGATTTAGATATAGATCCCATTTATATTTTCCTTCGATTTAATGTAAATGATGCACCAAACCTCTTTATATCTCTGGATTTTCACGAAATGTTGCACAGCGATTTGAATTAAGTCTAGAATGATGTGCGATAAGTTTCGAGAAAATCATTTCAGATTTAGATATAGTTCTCATATATATTTTCGTGCGATTTTAAGTAAATGCTACACCAAGGACCCACATGATAGAAATGCAGATATAGCCCATATATTCGACCGACTTAATTTTTATTAGATATGAAATAATCAACGAGTGTCCGATTGAGATTTGCATTAAATAGATTTACATAATTTTGCCTCATTCTCTATCTATCCAAATGAGGATTTTAGTATATGTTACAGAATGGCATGTTTATGGATTGATCTAAGTCAGTTCTCATTTAGATATATATCACATATTTTAGTTCATACAATTTCATGTTCTTCGAAAATGCGACGTCTGTTAGAATGCATGCATCTGTGGTGAAGGGTAGCAATCATCATATCATATCGACTATATGATACCAACGTGGGTGTCATATAGTCGGCCCCATCCGACTTTACTACTTTCCTTACTAGTTTTGAAATGAATTGTCAATAAATTAGAAAAATTTAATACAATTTTTATTTAAATCACTATTTGCACTATACCAGTTAATACTAAATCCCCATATTTGGATTTCCTATATATCCCAAACTAAAGTTATAAGAAATTTAGCACAAAAGAGAAACAAAAATAAAATCATAAAATGAATTGAAGTCGTAATCCTTTTTTATTATTTCTAAAACTTTCTAAAGTGAAACGTCCACACACACTATCGCACAAAAGGAGCGAAAAGAGAGGAAAAAAGGAATCATTCATTTTATCGTTACATTGTCATCGGTATAACTTGCCACTTTTGGCAAATTAAAATTTAATCCCACAATGTTTCATCCACACATTTGGACTATCGCACACACTTTCACACATACAGACTCGCCTTCATATATACGATCGTTGACACATACAACAGCAATAAATGCATGCTGCACAGCACAGCCACAGCCACAGACGACGAGTGCATTAAGTCCTTCCAAAAATTTAGTTTTTTTCTTCTTTTTTGTTGCTTTGTGTTCGTTCTCCTAGTTTTTTGGTTTCATTCACACGCTGTGCCGCCATTCATGCATTTGTTGGCTATAGAAGATTTCCTATGTGTTCGCTTACTCACTCGCTCGTTCATCATCCTAACAATTCTCTTGTTTTTTCGTCATTCTTCTTCGTCTCTTAGCCGACATTAGCAAGTGTTGATGTCTCGTTGGGCAAGTGTTATTGTGTCTGAGTGTGTGTGTGTGTGTTTTTGCAAGATTTGTTTAACGTTCCATGTGCATTTGTGTTAGTACAAATGAAGAATGAAAGACAAATCCTTTCGCAAAATAGTTTTAAATGAATTGTGAACAATGGTTCGTTGGTTGGCTGTTGGTTGACTGGTTGTTTATTTGATTGTTTGGTTGGCTGGGGGTTTGAGTCTTTGTTTGATTTTCACACTTTTTATACCCTTCACCACACTGTGGTATAG